AGCGAAACAGATTTGGCTTTATTTTTTTGTTTCCCTTGAGAGGGATCACACACAACAGTTGCAGGGCTTATTCCTGGCTCTGTGTTCAGGGATCACTCCTGGAGGGCTTGGGCACCATGTGGGGTGCTGGGGATCAAACCCAGGTTGTCCGCATGCAAGGCAATCCCCTACCTGCGACACTATCTCTCCAGCCCCTGTGTGCTTGTTTGTTTTTTGTTTTGTTATCACGTAGCACTGAATTTACCCATGATTTAACAGGTGTGAGCTAAGACAAAATAAGGAACCAGAAGTCAGAAGGTAATGTGTTAGAAGGTTCTAACCTGCCAGGAAATAGCTTTCTTTAAAAAGGAGAGCATGAGGAGAGAAAATCTGGTGCCAAGTTTTTCATAAGCTGGGCTGCAACTGTCACTGATATGAAATTAAATCAAGTCTTCGTTGTTCTTGTTGGTTGGGGGCTTGGGGCCATACCTGGTAGTACTTGGGGCTTATTCCTGACTCTGCTCAGGAGTCACTCTGGACAGTGCTTGGAGGAATCATCTTCAGTGCCAGGATCATGCACTTAACTTGTACCATCTCAGTTTCTTCGCTTTCCTTTGATCTTCTTGTCTCCACAAGAATGCGAGTCATATTGAGGAGAAAGGTTATTGTTGATTTTTTGATTCTCTCTTCCAAGCACTTAAAAGAAGTGTGAAATAAGTATCAATTGAGTGAATGAAATTACAGCAGGAGTCAGGGATGCTATTTCCACCAGACATTCATGAAAATATCTGGTTAAGATTGAGATCAACATTCTGAAAACAGAAAATCCCAATTGTTTAATAGGTTTAAGTTTGTCCCAGTAGCGTGCATATGAGTAACATGAGAGAGGAAAAGAATTGTTCTAAATCCTAGCCCCCTCCCCCAGATTAGAAGGATTTTTATTTTTTGTTTTTGAGCCACATCTGGTAGGGCTCAGGACTTATTTCTTCTCTGTGTTCACTCCTAGAGGGACTTGAGGGAACATATGTGGTGCCTGGGATTGAACCTGGGTGGGCAAGGGAAGTGCCATATACGTTGTGCCATTTCTCTGGCCCTCAGGAGGGCATTTTGTTTGTTTTGGGACCATCGCTGGTGATGCTCAGGGCTTACTCCTGGCTCTGCACTCTGGAATTACTCCTGGCAGTGCTTGAGGGACCATATGGGATGTGGGGTATTGAACCTGTACCAGCCACATGCAAGGTAAGTGCCCTACCTGCTGTATTATCTCCCCAGTCTCTAAAAGGGCATTTTAAGAGAAAGGAAATCTTAATGAAAGGAGCAGAAAGAACAAGGAAATCTTGAAAGAGCATGAAGCAGCCCAGTGAAATTGGAGGGAAATGGTCTTTGCCTTGGAGTCTTTGAGGCCATTGAAAATGTCCGCAGTTGGGGGGCTGGAGTGATAGCACAGCAGGTAGGGCATTTGCCTTGCACGTGGCCGACCCGGGTTCGATTCCCAGCATCCCATATGGTCTCCTGAGCACTGCCAGGAGTAATTCCTGAGTGCAGAGCCAGAAGTAACCCCTGTGCATCGCTGGGTATGATAAAAAAAAAAAAAGAAAAAGGAAGAAAGAAAAGAAAAGAAAAGAAGAGAAAATGTCCGCAATGATAAGAATTAGATCGGAAAGCACTGGGAATTAGCCTGGAATGCGAGAGTGCTCCGAGAGTGCTCCAAGAGTGCTCCAGCTGCTGCCTCCGTTGACGTCATCACTGCCCAGACTTCCCTAGAGCTCCCAGCCTCTTTGCAGTGCTGTCAGTTGTCTCACAATAGGCTTTCCAGCCGCAAATTACCACGGGGCTCCCCCCACCTCTCAAGATGGGAAAAAAAGAGAAAAAGACAATTCCACCCCGGAGATGGAAAGTCTCCCGGGAAGAACCCCTGGCAGCCGGAATCCTATTTCTTGATATTTCTGAAACTGGAATCTGGTCTGAGTAGAGAATGCAGAAAGATAATGGGCTCCTGCCACTAGACAAACACGCAGAGGGAAAGCAGAGAGGAGCCTCGACCCTGCAGAAAGAAGGGGCTGCAGACACACGGGGTTCTGTGCACATCTCACAGTCATTTTGCCATCAGCCCTTCCTGGACGCAGTCGCTTGAAAGGTTTTGATTAGAACATTTCCTTTCTTCTATGAAGTGGAGACGTGTATGATTTAGGCTGCTTCCAAATGAGCCTGGGATTCCGGCTGGTTGCTCTCTCTCTCTCTCTCTCTCTCTCTCTCTCTCTCTCTCTCTCTCTCTCTCTCTCTCTCTCTCTCACACACACACACACACACGTCAGTCCAGCTCTTCTGCCTGCTCAGCCTCAGGAATCCAATCAGTGAACAGAGGGGGCAAGAGAAATATCATGCGTGTGGCCCTTGCCGTATCAAGTTCAAGAGACCTGTGGTAAAATCCGGGCGCCATCGTTCTCCAGCCTCTGTGTCCTGGTTAGTTGTGGCCAGTTAGAAATTCCCAAATCCCACCCCCCAAATCCTCAATTGTGGTCAGTGGCTGCCAGGTGATGGTCAATTTGGAACTTGAGTGCAAGTGGAAGGACTTCACTTAGATCCCTCTGGCTATGAGGGATGAAAATACCCCCCCCCTCCACCCTCCACCCACCCACACACAGGCCAGCTAAACACGTTTACATCAGCGTTGCGATTTGTGTTAACTAAATCACATCCACATGGGAAACCCTGCTGGTACATGCTGGAGTCAATTTACATCGGAGGAAAAGGGGGGAACTTAGCCAGCTCAAGTAACTGGAGAGTCAGGTGGAGCGAGGTGCAGGGTGGGCCCCGGATGACTCCAGAAGCCTGCTTCTGTCTGTGACTTACCTACCCTGTGGGTTGGGTGCAGGGAGAAGTCCAGGCGTCTGTAAGTCAAACCGGCACAGTTCCTAGCGGATGCGTGGTCCCCCATAGTCCCATAGGGACCCTGAAAGGCTCTGCAGGAGTTGGTGCCCATCTCAGAGGCAATCCGGGTGGCCAGAGGTGACAGGACCGGGACCAGCTCCGAGCTGACAGTGTGCTGACCCCGGGGTGGGTGGAGGGCGGCCACTGCCCATTCTTCAGGATGGAGACGGCTTGCAGAAGTCCAGAGAAGCTTTTTCTTTTCATTTTTATGGTCTTTGGGGCCATACCTGACAGAACTCAGGGGTCACTCCTGACCCTGTGCTAAGGGACCGCACCTGAGGGTGCTGCAGGACCATATGTGGTTGGTGCTGAGAGATAGAGAGGGAGGGAAGTGGGGAGGGAGGGAGGAAGGGAAAGAGAAAAAGAGAGAGGAGAGAGGAGGAAGAGAAGAGAGAGGAGGGAGAGGAGGAGGAACAAGTGGGGAGGTTAACAGTAGAGAAACTGGGGACACTGGTGGTGGGGAATGCACACTGGTGAAAGGATGGGTGTTGGAACATTATATGACTGAAGCACAATCATGAGCAACTTTGTAACTGTGTATCTGACAGCACACAGCACACACACACACACACACACACACACCACCGTGAGTCCTGGGAATGAGGTTTTGCATAGAAAGCTTGCGGGAGGCAAAGGTGTCAAGGCAGCAGTCTTGGTGCATCTGTTCCTTCTGAAGCAGCAGGTGGTGCCTGAGCGAGCGATTCAGCCCAGAGCCCCAGCATGTCCCCAGCTCTGATTGCTTGTGGAGGGAAACAGGAGTGACGGGTGGAGGTTTTGCCTATGATTCATTTTTATTGTTGTTGTTGGACCACACCCAGTAAAGCTCAGGGGTTACTCCTGGCTCAGTGCTCAGGAACGGCTCCTGTTGGTGTTCAGGAGACTCTATGGGGTGCTGGGAATTGAACTCCAGTCAGCTACATGCAAGAGAAATGTTCTCCCCGCTGTACTATGACTCCGTCCCCTGCATGATTCTCTTAGTCTCTTAAATCACGCCTCCTTACCCCACCATACTCAGCCCACCCCTCTTCCTCGGGGCTCTGCTGACCATGAGTGGACCATGCCCGATGAGTATGAGGTCTCGTCTGATACTTGTGCTTTTCCAGCACAGTAATTCTCCATCATCGCATGCAATCTCGTGTCATGTCTGTTTTATTTATGATTATTTGATTACTTCTGTACCCGCTGCTGAGCTCCATTGAGAACAGGAAGTCTAGCAATTTGGTCTAGCATCAAACAATAATACATAGAATGAGTCCTGGGCACTGATGCACCGAGAACATTAAAAATCACACCCTGTCCTTTCTAGGTAAAGATGAACGATTCTTAAGTTCTGGAACTAACAATTGGTCTTAGTAGGTGTCGCAAACTCCCTTTTCTTCTTATGTCAGAGACTTCGGCTTTTTCACTTATTTTTCTTAGTTGGCTGAATTAATGAGGTGCCAATTTTGACGGCCCAGGCTAACAGAAAGAATCTATAGGTTGGACGACCTGCCCCTGGGTAATCAGACGCTTCCTTTTTTTAATATATAATTTAAGTGAAAAAATATGATCTATCTGGAATGTAGTTAGAATCACAAGAATCACTGGGCATAATAGAAATTCTTGGCAGAAACCAGGCCTTGTCACTGTGGCATATTATTATTAATGCTAATTTCCTCTTGAAACCTCTAATTGTGTTGAATAGAAGTCAGTTGAGTAGTAGAAATGAATGCCCAGGACCCACCACTTTGTTGAAAACCCATCAGATGATAATTTCCCGATTATTATAAAGTTCAAGATCATGAGAATATAGGTAAAGATGACCAACCCTCTGTCGTCCCTGTGTCTTCATAACTGCACTCGCTCTCAGGAGCAGGAACTGTCCTGCCTGTCCCCTCTGAATATGACCAACTGCAAAATAATTCTTTAATTATTTGCAAGAATCACAATTATTTGGTAACATTTCCATTACTGTCTAAATGGGATCAGAAAGAGCAAAACTTTTCTGAAACCCTTTGTTATGTAGCTTTGGATTAATAAGAAAAGTGACTGGAGAAAATGACTGTCCTTTAACCCTGTTTCCCCCCACCCCCGCCCCAGTTCCACTCTAGGTCTTCATGATGCTATGTTTAATTTGATTTGCCTGGTTCCGCTGGGCATTGCAGGAATACAGATTCTGGTCTGGAGCCCATTCTCAATGAGGAACAAGACGGATTACACAGGAGCTCTTCTAAGGATAACAGGAGACGGCCACCAAGGGATTCCAACAAAGCTCCAGTGGGTTTGATCTCACAGAATTTTTATTATTCTAAACTAATACAGACATATCGATACTTTGGATGATAACAGAGAAGACAGCATAGAAGGTAGAATTATTTTCTGTAATCTCTAAGTTGCTTAGAAAACAAAAAAAAATAAAGAAAATGTTTTATTTTTTCAGCATGTCTTAGGGAATTTTTTTATTTTTGAACTCTACAATTAGGGAGTTAAGTAGAAGTTGAAACCTTTCTAGACTGTTTCTAATTGGTTTTGTAGCCTGGACATCACTTTTTACCCTTGAGTTGCTATGTGAGCTACTTTGAGTTTCCCAGAAACACCTCACTCCGTGTGCTAGTTTCTCTGAATAGATTTATAGGGGCCACCCCAGCAGAGTTGGGGGAGGGCATGTGTGTGTGTGTGTGTGTGTGTGTGTGTGTGTGTGTGTGTGTGCGCGTGCGCGCGTGTGCCCTGGCTGTTCTCTACAGTGCTTGGCCAGATGGTTGGGCCTGATAATTCATAACTTGGGTCTAGGGATTCAGTGCTGCTCGGGTCTGATTGTGCTCAGGAGACCATTCGGTTCTAGAGATCGATCTCAGGGCCTAGGCATGTGGGAGTAGGAGGAAAGACACTGGGGCAATGGTAGAGAGACGCAAACTCTCAGGGAGGGTGTGATGCTGAGATATGTTATGATGAAACTCTATCATTGTCAGTAATGCACACAGGGAAGAAGGAAGGAAGTTCTTCTATTTGCAGCAATATGGATGGACGTGTAGAGTATTACACTTAGCAATTTAAGTCAGACGAAGACAGATTTTATTTCTATGGGCAACGTAAAAGAAACAAATGAAGTGGATAAAATAAAACTTTTTAGATTCTACGGCCTAATTAATGGTCCCCAAAGGGAAAGTGAAAGGGAAAGAGGTGTGTAAATCAGGTGAATGTTTCAATTGCCCTCTGAAGGAGAGAATTGGACTTTCAGTGACAGAGTCAATGCAACACGCAGGCATGTTGATACACATAATGATACACACCTGAAACATATGATATGAGGAAATGTGCAATAAATGTGCAATTTAGGTTAATAAAAAAGCAATGCATGACTTTTGAATACTTTAAAATATGTATCACTTCTGCTAATGACTCCTCCCTTTTCCTTATGAGTCACGTTGAAAAACTCAGGAAGTTGGTTGCATGAAACCAGAGCACCAGGTGTGTGTGTGTGTGTGTGTGTGTGTGTGTGTGTGTGTGTGTGTAGCGGGGTGTGTATGTTGCTCGTCTAGGCCTGTTAACCAACACCAGGAGGCAGTAGAGCGTTGTGCACGGAGTGTGGGTCCCGCAATCCAACAGCCTACTCTAAAAAGTCACCTCCCTCTGCTCACTCTGCTCCCTTTGGAAGTTGTAAGGGAAGAGAAAGAGACAAGTACACGTTCAAGAGAGAACACAGACTGCTCCAGAGTGGAAACAGGCAAGCAAAGAAATAGAGACGTGTATTCAAGAGAGATGTGTATTCAAGAGAGAACATGGGCTTGAAGAACAATCAAAAAAAATTTTTAAAAAGCAACCTTAGGGCCGGAATGATAGTGCAGTGGGTAGGGCATTTGCCTTGCACGCAGCCAACCTGGGTTCGATCCCCGGCATCCCATACCCTCCCTGAGTGATTCCTGAGTACAGAGCCAGGAGTAACCCCTGATCATTGCCGGGTGTGACTCAAAAAGTCAAAAAGCCAAAAACAAAAAATAGAAACCACCTCAACCACTTTTTCTTCCTTCCTTCCCCTCCTCCTCCTCCTCCTCCTCCTCCTCCTCCTCCTCCTCCTCCTCCTCCTCCTCCTCCTCTTTCTCCTCCTCCTCCTCCCGTTTTTGGGCCACAATTAGCAGTGCTTACTACTCCTGGGTCTGCATTCAGGGGGCAGTCCTGGCAGGGCTCAGGGCACCATACAGAGAATTGGTGATTGATGCTGGAGGGGGGTGCATGCAAGGCAAGGGTCATGCTGACTGTACGATATGGATCTCTCCAGTCCAATTGATGACTTTTTTTGTGGGGGGTGGTCTCGTTTTTGGGTCGACCCGGTGAAGTGCAGAATTTACTCCTGGGACTTCTGGATCTATGCTCAAGGATCACTCCTGGAGGTGCTTAGGAGCGAGCGGAAAACGTATGGAGTGTCAGGGATCGAACCCAGGTCAGCTACGTCAAGGCAAGTGCCTTACCTATTGGCTGTACTATAAGCTCTGGTCCCTCCAACCGGTGACTTTCTGAGTGGCTAAAAACATAACTCTGTTCTTTCTTTTTTTCTCTTTCTTTCTTTCTTTCTTTCTTTCTTTCTTTCTTTCTTTCTTTCTTTCTTTCTCCCTTCCTTCCCTTCCTCCCTCCCTCCCTCCCTCCCTCCCTTCCTCCCTTCCTTCCTTCCTCTTTCTTTCTTTCTTTCTTTCTTTCTTTCTTTCTTTCTTTCTTTCCTTCTTTCTTTCAAGATGATTGGCATTTTGCTTATTTTATTTTATTTTTAAAGGTTTTTTAAAAATGGAATCACCGCAAGATAAACAATTACAAAGTTGTTTGTGATTGAGTTTCAGTGACACAATATTCCAACCTCCATCTCTCCACGGTGTACATTTTTCCACCACCAATGTCCACCAGTTTCCCTCTTGCCAGCTTCCCTGCCCCACCCCTGCCCCCTGCAGCCTGCCGCCTGCCTCTTGGAAGACACTTTTCTTCTCCCTCCCTCTCTCTCTCTCTCTCTCTCTCTCTCTCTCTCTCTCTCTCTCATTTTGCTTCCAGGCACTGTGGTAGGCAATACTGTTACTGAAAGGTATCATGCATTTTACTCTACCTCCTTTCAGCACTCAGTTCTGGTCCAGAGGGATCATTTCCAACTATTTCTGTCCTGGAGCGTCCTTCTCTGTCCTAACCGCTCTTCCCCTCCCCCTTGGTGTGGCCAGTGCCTACCACGGACCAGATGTCTTGGGCCCTTGCTCCTCTGAGGAGAACAAGCATTCTGAGCTTCGGAGACGTCTGTTTAAAAAAAAAAAAAGAACTTGAGAGTGATGGTATTGACCTCCAGCAGTTGTCTAGAGAACCGAGAAAAGACACAGAGAGGACACTTGGCTGTGACTGGGCTGGGCTGCTTTCATCTGTGACAAGTGGCATGTTGGCAGTTACCACAGGGGGTGGGAGTGAAGGGTAGTTAAGATAGAGGAGGGTCCATTATGACAATACTAGTTGGAAATGATCACTCTGGACAAGAACTGGGTGTTGAAAGCAGGTAAAGGGATAGACATGATAACCTTTCAGCATCTGTGTCGCAAACCATAAGGCCTAAAATGCGAGAGAGAAAGAGAAAGGGAGAGAGAGAGAGAGAGAGAGAGAGGAGAGAGAGAGAGAGAAGAGAGTGCCTGCCATAGAGGTAGGCTGGGGTGGGGGGCGGCTAGAAGGGTAGGTGGGAGGGAAACTGGGACACTGGTGCTAGGAAATTACACTGGTAAAGGGGTGGGGTTTGGTACATTGTATGACTGAAGCGCAATCATGAACAGCTTTGTAATGCTGTAATAAAAGCTTTGTTATTATTTTATTTTATATCTTTTTTGGGGTCACACCCGGTGATGCACAGGGGTTACTTCTGGCTTATGCACTTGGGAATTACTCCTGGTGGTGCTCGGGGAACCTTATGGGATGCTGGGAATCGAACCCGGGTCAGCCACACACAAGGCAAACGCCCTACCTGCTGTGCTATCGCTCCAGTCCCAACTGTAATAAAAGCTTTGTAACAGCTGTAATATCTCACCTTGATTAAAAAAAACATATTTGCAAGTTAGTCAAAGGTGCTTTTCATCAAGATTAGGCCATGGTCCAGATCTAGCATTTTAGAGGGAAGAAATGCATCTGTTTTCACTACCCAATTTGTTCCCTTCCAGGGACTGGGGCCAGTCTCACAGGAAGGACAGCAGGTGAGGGGGAGCAGGCAGGAGGGCGGTGACTGCCACCTTAGAAATGCAGGGATTTGGGCTTAGATTCCGAAGAAGTTATTTGTCAAGAGTTCAGCTCTCCAAAACGAAAGATGATCCCACTTAGAAACTTTGTCAGGAGTGTGTACTCTATTTAGTGAATTATTTTCCATTTTATGAAGTGTCATGGAACTCTGAATGTGTATAAGATCTTGTGTTTAAAGTGTGTGATAAAATGGAAAATTAACATAAAACACTTAGCACTTATGTTTATATAGACCCCTTCGGGGGTGTCTACAGAATTCACAAATAAAAGTAAACAGGTAAAAAATAGATCCAGAAAACAGACAGGACAAGACAGGTCCAACCACACAGGTTTTTTGTTTTTTTTGTTTGTTTGTTTGGGTGTTTTGGGTCACACCTGGCGAGGCTCAGGGGTTCCTCCTGGCTCTGCACTAAGGAATTACTCCTGGCGGTGCTCAGGGGACTATATGGGATGCTGGGGATTGAACCCAGGTCAGCCATGTACAAGGTAAACACCCCATCCGCAGTACTATCACTCTGGCCCCCAGCTACATAAATTTAAAAAAAAATATATATATATATCACTTTCACAGAAAAAAATATTTGAGGTTAATGTGATTTTTCACATTCACATGGAAAATGTCAAGGATATAAATAGAACCCAGGTCTCCTGCCTCCTGGTATAAATGGTAACCCTGCTTTTTTTTTTCTTTATTTGGGTCACACCCGGTGATGCACAGTGGTTACTCCTGACTCTGCGCTCAGGAATTACCCCGGGCGGTGCTTAGGGGACCATATGGGATGCTGGGAATCGAACCCCAATCGGCCACGTGCAAGGCAAATGCCCTACCCACTGTGCTATTGCTCCAGCCCCGTAACCCTGCTTTTGATGATAAAAATGGAAGCCAGAGAGGGGCTGGAGCAATAGTACAGTGGGCAGGTTGCTGCTTTGCATGCTGCTGACCTGGGCTTGGTCCCTGGCTCTCCGTATGGTCCCCTGAGCTTGCCAGGAGTGATTCTTGAGCACAGAGCCAGGCACTCCTCAGAAAAGCGACA